TAAAAATGTCACTGTTGATCACATTGTAGTAGAAGACTTCATGCCTTCCTAATACATTGTCATGCTTCTAAACCAGAACTGCCTCAACGCTGATAGTATTCAAGCCCGTATCTTTCCTATACCATCTTTGTGAAATACATGAGCCTCTCGCCTTGAACTGGTATCACCATTTGTGCTAGAGTTCCTTACTCAAAGCAAGATGAGTCCCACCTGGGAAAGTTATATACTTGGTCAATGGCTTAAACATCAGTCTGCACATTGGAGGTGATGTTGCAAAGGTTATGGTTGCAGCTGATGTGTTCAGCGACCTGCCAGAGGCACGTGACACAGTAGGGCTTGCTAAAATAAGTAACATGATGAAAGATTATATTACTTAGAGTCTTACTAACATGGTCGGCACTTGAATCAGAAAACCAATTAGAAAAAATTAAAGAAACAGAATATTCCGCTCCAGAAGTGGTGTTAATGCAAAAGCCTACCTCAGAAAAAAAAACACATGCACCTGTACTGTTCAACTCCCACATGAATGACAAATCAGTCTATCCTGGCACAGAGATTTATGTACACAGATGCTTTAAACCTCACAGTCTAAACCAACAGTCTCATCCACATTGAAGCACTGTTGACATAATTACTCTTTAGTCTCTTAATTGTTTCATATGAAAACCGAGTGCTAAATCAAAGGCTAAAATGCAAACAGTTTCTCTCACTTCAGAAAATGCAATAAAAACAAATACCTCAGCATAACCTGGAACAGCCACCATCAGCACCTGGGAATGACCAGGGCTTTTCTCCATGTGGAGAAGATAAAGATTAAGGCTGAAGTTCAGAACACTATGCTGAAGATGCTCATTTCTAAAGGGGCAACCAACCCAATAACACAGGAAAAGACTGCATTTTACATTCCTATATCTTAATACACAATTCTACTACTGGAAAGGTCATTATATGAAAAGACATTAGAGATAGTGTTACAAGAAAATTGCCAGTACATCACTACCTAAGCAACCTGTGCATGTTTTTTGTTTATCACTAGCTTCTCAAAGCTGCCCCACTGATGGCCTTCAGGCCAGGCATGTCCTGGCCAGTTACTGAGATGGTCCAGTGTGTACTTGCTGTGTGTATCCAACACTTCACTCCTACATCAGAAATGAAGACAGTGTTTTCAATTAAAATGAATAGCCTCAGTTTTGGTGATACAGATAAGAGCCACTAGTGGTTCTCACTTTGTTTTGGTGCATGGGCTTATCTGGAATTTGTGCTGTTGTAACTAAAAGCAGAATCTGAGAACTACTAGGCATCTGCTTTATCAGAATAATTATGAAAGAAATACTTACTCTGTGATTGATGTCAAATAATAGTTTAATGAAATCTCCCACAGTCAATAGTTCTTCATAGTGCTATAAATGTTGGCCATCTCAAAATGAAATGGTTAAATATCTGACACTTTCATTTCTGTTGTCAGTAGTGTCCTGTTGTGTTTTCTAACATGGAAAGAATATAGCCTTTGCAATTAAGATGCAGGGTTAAAACAGATGATGCACACTGCTGTTTAGTGACCTACTATTGCTAATATAACAAAGAACGTGCGTGTGTTTTCACCTGTACTTGCCAATTTCCAGCTTTTTGCAGTGCACTCACACCTGAGGTATTCTTATGCTTCCTACCCTTTGGACCCACTGCTCCATGGGGGTCTCTTCGCTGAGCAATTGAGAAATGGGATACCCAAAACAGACAAAGAATAAACTCATGGCAGAAAATGCAGCAACTTCAGATCTCTCACTGCTCTCTGAAAGCCAACAATGGGAAACTACAGGGAGCTGGAGACAGTCTACTAAATAATTTATGACATACAGCACATTCCTGAATGACTTTTCCCCCATAACGCATGGAAAATCTTATCTGGCCTCAGAGAGAAAAAAGTCCCCCACTGTTCCACTACCTCAAGCTAGACAAGAGTTTTGATTACTCCGAGCCAATGCTACTGTCTTCTACAGAGATTGCTCTAACTCTGCTGAATCCCAACTTGGGTTTTAAATACACCTTTGAAACAATCATTATACCAACACAGGCTTTATCTACTACCCGCTTGCATCTCAACAGACTATTACCTCAAGAATCTGCCTTTGTTAAACATGGCATTATTCAATGCTACCTCATTCCTAGTCACAAAACTTTCAAAAATCAGGAAAAAACCCTCATCTAAGACTGCATGCTACATTAAAGTTTCATGTTTTATTTTTACATGAGGATTACTGTTCCCCCAGACTTCAATTGATTACTATGGACCATGCAAAATGCCACAGACCACAGAAGCTACATTTTCAAATGGATGGTTTTATTGATTAATCAGGCATTGAATCAAGTATTGTAAAATAAACAGATTTTGTTCATTAAAAAGTGTCCAGAAGAATAGCATTCATAGCAAACTTGTTTCCTCATAGTCATACAGAATATGAAATTGTTCAAGAAACAAGCAAAAAAGGAACATCTGACTAATTACTGTCAGTCTGTGTGTGTATATATGTATGTACACATATACACAAATTACACAATATATTTGTGCATATACTGGTGTGTGTGTGTGTACCCATACATATGTATACATATATACACAAACACATACACACAAAGAGTACTGACTGAATGAATAGTCCACTGGAGGAATGTGGCTTAGCTCCAAATGAAGTATTCTGTGTTAAAATAAAAATGATACAGCAAGGCCTGCAGATAACAGACCATTTTTTTTCCCGCTGGCCAAAACCATGGTCTGTCTTTAGACTCACAGCCTATCTTTACAATGAAAATATGTGTGATCATTGAGGTCTTTCCAAATTCATGGTATTACTTGCATCCAGCTCAATCTCTGCCAACATTGTATGGCCAAACACTGAACGGTGTTTTCAGTTTGTCCACTACTGAAACAGCTTCTAGAGTTAATATTTCTGGCAAAAGAGAAGATACACAGCCTTGCTACATGTACTTTGGTAATATACCCTTTCTTTTTAGGCAGAAACTTGGCAATAATCCTACATTAAACTTCCTTTCCTCCTGCATCTTTTATCACTGTTTTGCTTCAGTCATCTCCTGCAAACTCATTGTGATAATTTTCATGCCATCTCAGCTACCTTCCAAACATCCCAGGCCAGATCATCTGGACAATGTACCTCAGATTGTATTAGTAGCATTGCGATCAATTATAAAATGTAATGTTTGGGGGGATTTATTTACTTTTTCATTTTTGAGGGTATACATTTCTTTATTATTACAGACACTATGATAAACACTGCAGTTCACTATATGTACATATTTTCACTTATTTATGTCAACTCTGGAAAGATCAGTGGCTCCTACCTGTGAACCATGAGATCCTGCCCCAGCTGAAAGCCATGGTACCAGCAATGTACTGTCAGACTTTTCTCCATTTAATTCAGCATTTAGCAGGGCATGTAAAGGGAAATCAAAGGAGCATGGACAGGCATTTATTTCTATCAAAAGAAAGGAAAAAACCAAATAGGCATGTATGTATTCCTCATCTTGCTCATAAGTTTTCTACATCATCATAAGGCAAACTGTAGTACAGCTTGGTACCTGGAGAATCAGTATTTAAAAAATCTGAAGCTGAGCTTGGGACCATTTTGGTTTGGACCTGTTAGTGAACAAAGTGCATTAAGGCATCCTTTTCAAAAGACACCTAAAGCATGGTTATAAATTACTGAGCAATCTTTCCTCACAGCTGGTTATCCTGTTTCTACACAGGTGGATTTTCACCACTTGCATAGTAACAACTGTTTGTTGTAGGAAAGCTGTTTGACTGTAGGAAAACCATTCTTTTAAGGTTGTCATATGCTTCAAGCATCTCCCAAAATGATCATTTATACTTAAGCATTGTAGTAATTACAAAGGGCTTCTGTTCTGTAGAAGGAAAAGAGAAAAAAAAATGCACCTGATTCAGCTTTGAAATAAAGTAGGCACAACCTCTATTGCCTTCGCTGAAGTCCATCCACCAACACTAGGATGAACGTAGGGCCTGCCTGTGCAGATTCTTACTGCTGCTGAAAACTTGTTATTTACTCCTCATTCACACAGAGAACTGTGCTTTCCCAAACAGCCCAGGACAATGATAACTATGAGCAAACCCCAGCTGCAGTGTTTCTCCATACAGCACATGTAAAACAGATTTCCTTGCTTTGTTATAGAGACTATATAGTGTACGACAATGAAACATTTGTATTTAATTTAAAATCAATGGTAAAGTGGCGCATGTCTCACTTCCGAGTTGTTGGCTGGGCTTGCTATGTTGAACCTTGTAAAATCAGCAATAAGCATTCACATGTCTACCATCAGAACCGTGACATCTTCTATTACAATCAATCCTTAAATGATGCCATGCTTTATCAAGTTATTCTACAGTCAGACCTTGGATTGGCTGCTCTCCTCCAGTGTTGCTGATTCTCAGAGATGGTATCAGTCTTTCACATCCTCAGTGATTCTACAATGTTTCCCAAAGACGCAGGAGAAGCACTGGTAGATGGGAATGTTGCCATCAATAAAATAAATTGCCAGATGATTTATCCACTCACATTTCTAGGAGATATTCCACATGTTTTTTTATGAACAGAGAGAGCACTGCCCCGTGAACAGAAGTTAATTAAAATTTCTTTTGCTGTGTTGGCTAGCTACACTTCCTCACTTGTTTATTTTTGTTCTTTTTGGTCTGCACACTCCCATGTGCAAAGTAGAAATTAGGAGATCTTGCACTCAGTAAGACTGGTAATAAGAGCGCTAATATTGGCGCAAATAAAACCTGCAGGATACTGACTTGTCCACTGTGCAGTTTTCATCCTTCCAATTTCCTGCTTTTATCCACTGTAAAATAAAACGATGTAAAGGGCTGATGAAACTTTAATTAATAGGACCATCAATGTGCAAAACAAGTAAGTAATTTTCCAGGTGTCCAAACCAGGCTTTCCCTTCTTTCTCTCTCTCTTTTTTTTTTTTTTTTTATAAATAATTTATAAATCTTCCTGTAAGAGACTAAATACAAAACCAAACAAACAAAACCAACTTCAAAAGAAAGTTCTAAGATATTATTAAAGCCACTTCTTGTCCTTCCGTACAAAGTAGACAGTAAAGGGATATTCTCCCCTTTTCAGTTCTGGCCGGATTCAGCAGTGACAGGCCGGGATGCCATGTGGTCCACCAGCTCCGGGCAAGCTCCTGTGGGCAGCTGCCTGGCCTCCCTGGGAAGACGCGTCCTCCTACCTTTTGGCTTTTAGCAGTCATGCGAGCTGCTCGGAGGAGTCTAGGTGGTCAGGGATAGGCAAGCCAGTTATAATGGTCAAACACTTATTCCACACAGTGAACGTGGGGCACACTGGCTGCCCAAATGTAATGTCAAAGGTGTAAAGGTGTAGGGAGTTCAAAGCATCGTAAAAAGCAAGGGAACCGTTGTCATAGTCCAGCAAAATCCCGACCCGCCGGAGGTGAGGCGCAGGCTCGATGGGGATTTCTTTGCTGTTGTGCCGCACCACCCACGTGTTATTGCAGCGGCAAAGCACCCAGGAGGCAGAATTCTTCCCAATCCACTCGTGTTTCGGCGCCGACTTGTAGGAAATACCAATGGCATACCTGCAAAACAAAAAACAACTCAAGGAAACAAATGCTTCCTGCCACGTTTGTTTCTCAGTGAAGTCAAATGTTAGCCCAGAGGACTCACTGGAATGCCCCAGCTTCTTACTGCTGCTGGTTAAGTTCTAATTAAGTGACGTTTCACCGCAATATCTGCACAGGCTTAATTAATGTTTTTCCCCATCTCTCTTGGGTCTGAGAGGTCAGGGAAACCTTATTGTCCCCTGTATTGTTTGCAGCTTGGCTGCTATGGTAATTTTTTGGAGCACTCATCTCTGGTATTCAAAAGGAAGATTGTTGAGTACTCAGCAACTCAGTGTTTAAATCACTGGGCCTCAAATTTCCACTTCCAAACAGATGAATACAGAGGAATTCATTGATTTTAAAATACACTGCTATCTGTCAGCTAATCTGATCTCTCCTTGCTCCTTTAATATATGGCCCAGAATAAGGAATGCAAGAGTAAACATCAAAGGACACATTAAAAAAAACATTTTTGCCATTCCCAAATATGTTTTGCCAGATGTTGGTGTGGTTTTTAGATTCAAATGAGCATTTTTGAGACTAGGTTTTGGGCCAAGTGAAGCAATTGTAGGTGAAGACATTTGCTCTGCAAACCATAATTTATGGCAAGATGTGCAGGGTAAAAGGATTGTGAAAATGTTCTTATTAATGGACACTGAGGGAAAATACCTGATTTCTCATATATAACAGAAATGTAAAAGTTCCTCACGTTCTAGAGACACTGCAGTATTTGTTAGGCTTTCAACCAACAGAGATTAATGTGCCATAAGTTATTCTGTTTCCATCCCTTAGAGCTGGCACAGGCAAACAGCATTTTTCTTGTTTGAGACAGTGGGCATACCTGAAGACCTTACTGATTTTTCCACTCCATTAACCTCCATCATGATTGTTGCCTTTGAATCCCAAAGGATGACATCTCTTCCACTGACTAAAGGGCCCCTGAAATCCACCCCTGTATGACACAGAGGATCATTCAGGAGCAGAGGAATGCACTCCTCTATTTCCTGCCCCTTGCTTCATACCCTGGGGCACAGACCTACAGTTCTGCTGCTCTGTGCCCCCTCCACAGAAGCAAATCTGACCTCCACCCCTGTGAAACTGGATCATCAAATTGTCCTCATATTTATTTTTCTTTCTTCCTGAAGGATGCCAGTATCTTTCAGGTTTAGTAAAGAAATAATCACACTTACAAAGTTTGCTGTGTTGTATGAAAGAGATGAAACTTTCTGAGCTCTCCAATGCACTAAAATCTTAAAATTTACTGTATGTGGGTTCAAAAAACAACCATCTCCAGCCATGGAGTAAAATTCCTGTGAAGACCACTAAATATAAAGATGATCTACCTGGCAGATTTAGTTCCAGAGTCCAAAAGTGTTGGAGATATTGAGAAAATAGTCTGACAAACCATGTGAAAGTATATGCTTGTCCTGCTCTTGTATTGTTCCCCGTGCCTCTGCTCCTGGTCTCTATCAGAGAAACTGTTCACGGTGTGAACCAGTGATTCTTTTAACATATATTTGTATATACATACCACGTGCTCCCACTTATAACCACTTCCCAGTAATGACGCCCGCTGTCAATGAACACGTTGCCAGCTACTCCATAGCTCCCCTGGCTTGTGAATCGCTCTGGTGTGTGACTCTTTTTGGAGGATGTTTCATCACGTTCCACTGTCAAGTTATCATGAGACACTTTCAATTTCCTATGAGCAGATTTGGGGTCCAGTTTAAATGGCTGACCTAGAGAGGCAGAGACAAAGATGGCAGAAGAACGGTTTGGCTTTGATTTTGAAAAGGAGAGTGGATTAGTGAGCCTCTAAGAAGCCCACAAGATTACATAACCATATTAATCTCCTCTGAAGTGTTCTCAGGATAGACTAACCTATTCTGGTCCCTGCAATCACTAGTTTGCATTGTCAGTTTACTGTCAGTCTCATTGTGCACTAACTTCCCTGTGTCGATAATCCCTGAAAAGAGCCCTGCATAATCACCATGCCCATTATCTCTGACCCAGAGGTAACCTGAATACTCTAATTCTTGCATGTAATTGAAACCAATATACATGCTAATAAAGGTCTGAGGGTTGCTTTTTTCACAGCATATTAGATTTAGAGTAAGTTATGTTCTATTAATTCTCTAGGGATAAAGCTCCATAAATAACATCTTCATCGTTACTACAAAAAAATATGATTTCAAATCCCACAAAATGAGTCTGAAAATAAGAAGCAGCACTAGCCTTGTCCATTCGTTCACTCACAGCTTTATTTATAACAAGCACAGTCAACAATTCAGGATCGCTTTGGAAGGATGCCTGTGTGGTGCTGGATACTGTGCATTAAAAAGAAGGAAGTGAACTGTAACTTGGTCCAAATAATATGGTGTAAAAACATTACTGAGGCTGTTGCTCTTGGCAAGTATCTTCAGCTGTAGCACAAGGTTTGTAGACAATAACAGGAAGCTTTCTGGTAAACCGAACCCTGTAGATATATAAAGCCCGCCACAATTCTGACAGGCTTGCTCATTGTGTCAAAAAACAAAATGATCATTTACCTCCACCAGGAGACAACTAGGAAACTATGACCCCATGAGTGGTCTAGCAAAGCCCTTTTCCCTTCTGACTGTCTTTCATATCAAGGGGAAAAAAAATGCAAGTGGAAGATTTGACGACATGCACAGAGAACGTAAATTAGCCCTCTCATGAGGTCTATGTCAGGCACTGACACGTGTGCTTCAAATAAGATGTAAAGTGTTCAGAGTTCATGAAAGAACAGTTAAGCATTTCTCACGCAGTAAAACTGAAAGCATTAATGTTGGGGGTAAGAAGAAATTAAGTTCATCTGAGCAGTGACAGTCAATATGTGTTGGTTCACATCTCTAGGCAATCTGAAAATGCAGACATTTAAAATGGGAGATGATTAAGGCAATACTAATTCTTATTTAACGTTATTAGAGATGGGTCCCAAATTAGATAAGGAGTACTTTCAGCTTTAGAGTTACCATCTACTTTCATAACGTGTGTTTAGTTATGTATTATGATAAAGTATAAAATGAACCCATTGGAAAGTATTTGGGGAACACTTTACCTGCTTTTTCTTACTGCTCAGTAGGAGTAAAATACCTGCAGCTTGCCTCTCTAACTGCTTAGTGCCCTTTGTGTTGCTGAAGCAGTATCCAGAGGATGTCTTTCTCTGTACTGAAGTGTATCTGGTCACATCATTTCTCGCAGTCACCTGAGAGATTGTTTTTGTGCTGCACCAGGTCACAAAGGGACAAAAGGGTAAAAGACTGCCATTTCCAAATGGGTTTTCTGGTTATGCATTTGCTTGTAGGTTACCAGGTTTGACAACAAGCAGATTCTTGGTAGCAGATGTGGGGTTTGTATGAGCAGTTTTTACACAGAAATGCAAACCAGGTTAACAGCAGAAAGGGGAAAATGAGAAACGTGTACATGCCATTCCCTCCAGCCTCCTTCTTGCAATGTTCAGTATCACCCCTCTTTGAGCAGCCTCCCCTACAATAAGCAGGTTTCAGAGGGTGCACAAATCCCAGTGTTCCTTTTCCAGTGCTCAGAGCTGCCCGTGATGACTACATGAATGAGGGATTGGCTGGGACACAAGAAGAAAAAGGCTGAAAACCAGTCTTAAAATTGCTATACTACATCTGCTAATAATTTGTGTAACCATTGTTTTTTTGAAGTGGGTTCTCTGACTACTCTACCACCTTGTTGAACTCCATAAAAAACTGAGGGGGATGGAGATAAGAAAGAGATCATTTTGGAGGATAAAATTAAACTAGCAATTATCTTATGAATGTTATACAAAAATAAATGTTTTATTGCAAACATAAGAAAAGTTTTTGCTTTGTAGAGGAAAAAGAATAGAGGACATTAAAACAAAACCACAAAATAGTATTTCCAATCATTTTACATGTGATGGTTCTGTTCCTAAATGATATTTCCAGTGACCAAACTACAGATGCATCTCAAAAAAAAAAAATCTGCCCTACTGAAGAATCTGGCAGTCTTGAATTGAGTTAAATAAGTGGCTTCCATTGTGGGAAGCACTTTAGACAAGTTAAGCTGCTCTGCACTCTTCTGTCTTCCAAAGATCAAACCTAAAAAGGAAGGCAAGAAAGGAGAAGAATGTGTGCGTGCCAGATCTCACGTTACTCACTGTTTGTCTTGAGCTTGCCGGGCTCGCTGCTTCTGCTGCCTGCCTGATTAATGGCCTTAACAATGAAGATGTACTTAGTGCCACTCTGTAACCCGTGCACTGTGTAGTGGTTTTGTTTGATATTGGGAACAATCATCCAGCTGTCGGCTGAGTTGCATAAACCTGCAATTTCAAACAGAGCACATTAGTCATAACATACTAAACACTTTGTAACAGAGGAACATTTAGAGCACTCCCTAGCACCCAATGACCGATATGAATTTTGCTTCCGTACTTTTAAAGTGCTGTTATGTTTACCAAGTAGCTACTTAATTCCACTAACCCATTTCATCAGCCCTCAGCCAAGGTACCTTTTAAGTTCTTGTTATGTGAAGTCAACCATAAAAAATGGACATTTAAGAAATGAGTCAGTGGAGGCATGAGCAGTCTGAGATTTTTCATATCCCAGTACAAGGAATTTGTTATTGCTTAAGAACTAGAGGATTATGGAGATCCCATCAATCTACTCTTCGGGTTAACAAACTCAGTTTAAGCCTCAGAAAACTAATGTGAGCACTAAAGCTAGAAGGGCTGGGAAGGCACCTTTGCTGGTAGTCCCCAGGTATGCATTCTTCAGGACCTGAAGCAAATCATGGAAGGCCAAACAGGGTAGAGTGTGGGCTCCAGAGCAAGCTTTGGCTTTTACACTCCAGGCTTTGCCAGGATGTAATCTAAGCCAGTAAATTTAAGGGATGCAACTTTTTGATTTATGTCCTCATGGTTAGATGTCAGCTGGGGAAGAGCTGGATAGTTCTCCAGTTACAAACATTTTGGGGTATGTTTGATGCCTACTACAGAAGTATAATATTTAGGAAGTAAGTGAAATAAGGGAGGAGCAATATCATCTGCAAAACAGGAAAATACTCCATTGAGATGAATTTATTAATTTACATATTTTTTTCCTACTGTGATATAACTGCAAGGGTAGTCAATCACCCATATTACTTGCTGTACATTTTGAACAGCTCCTGGTCTAATGGATCCCCAGTCTCATAGCTCTCTTATTACAAACATTTACATAAATAACAAATTCAACATTCATAAAGTGTATATATATTCACAACCTTTTATATAGCTATACAGCCAGAAAAAGATATATGCAGATGGAAGTGTATGCATGAGTGTGCATGTGTAAGACTGGAAAACTTAAAAGAAAAATGCTTGACTGGATTGGGAACCTGACAGACTTGGTCTCTGCCTTTACTGGGCATAAAACATGTTATGAAAGCTATTGTGTTATTAAAAACCAGCTTTCAGCTTTTAACTCGTGTTTTACCAGCAAACCAGTAAGTACTAGTGAAGAGAATCTTTTAGAAGTCAGTAGTAATTTCAGCCCCACATATTAGGCCATACAAAATCTTTATGTAAAGTAAAAATGAAAAGGCTACTGGACACAAAACTTGAAAGAAAAAGACCTGTGATACAGGTTTACAGGCTCATAGACAATTGATAACCATACTGGGAGATTCCTTCCTGACTTGGGATGTGCTTTCATAACAAAAGGTCGTTAGAAACAGACCTCATACCCAAAATTTCAATCTAAGAATTATGTAGCTTTTGTCTCAAAGTTCCCTTATATTACATAGCATACTTCAGAGGCAGGCAGCTACTCATTCTGCTGTGCAAAAGGGTAACTGAGGCACAGTTTCAGGCAGGACTCATATCACCTTGTCATCTCATGAAGAGCTCCAATGCCTAATGTATTTTTCTGGACTCTGAGGAGAGGCAGAAATCAGTGAGTAGTTTCTATCACTTCTCCAGGTGTGAACATCCTACCACAAGTGCCTCTCTTTTCTTGGCCACAGAGGAAGTCTAGGTGACTACCATAGGTGAGATCTCTAACTTCAGGTATCTGAAACGAGGTGAGATGAACACCCCCACCACCCTGATTCGAAGTCTGGAAGTCTAAGCCTGTGGCTGAACTCACACATGGGTTGTGGCCTTTGGACCATGATTTACCAGAGAGAGAACATTTCTTTGTTGCAGTTTCCTGGTGTAAAGTGGGAAAAAAGAATTCTAGGATGTTCCTTATGCTCCAAGCAGTGAGCATCCTGACCACACGTAGCCTCCCTAAATGTCACCTACAAGGGATTCAAATGGTTTGCTATATGTGGATAGAAGCAGCAAACAAAAGCAACCTTGCAGCACTGTTTTTCTCAAGACTATTGAAACACTAGATCATATAGAGCAATCATATGTCTACCTCCTGAAAAAAAAACAACCCAGTGTTATACCCCATGAAAACCCCAGTTGCGCCTAGCACTTGTAGTAAACTGCTTATAGCAACATCAGTCCACATCATGTTTCACTGAACCATACCTACTGACTGATATTTATTTCTTTAGGCTGGGTGTGAATGGGTTTCCCAAGAGGAAGAAAGGAAATAAAAGCAGTAGTTTCCTGGCATCAAATATTTCACTGACTGCTCAGAGGAATCCTCATCTTTTCCCAATAAAAATTTGCCACAGGTATTAGAGTGAAGGCACAATTGTTCTGTAGCTGAACTACCACATTGATTTTGCATTGAGACCATCACTTACCTGGCTCATAGGTGCTATGGCAAAATAAGTGTTAAGGTAAAATAAAACAAAATGAAGCACTGGATTGAGAGGGAGTCCAGTATGACCAAGGAATCCCTAACTCCGATGCCTCGGATGTGGTTTCAAATAACATATGGCAGTAGAGTCATAGAATCATTTAGGTTGGAAAAGACCTTTAATTCTTTAAGTAAGTGGGATGAATCTGGACAGGAGTCCTGGAAGTGTCTTCTCCTTTGACAACCACACTTCAAAAGCAAAGGTCTGTGGTATACATAGGCTGTATATAAACAAACCCTTACGCAGACACAGAAGTGCCCAGACTTTTGCTAAATCATCTCAAAACTAGATTTATATCAGTCACTACAGCTCTCTAAAGGGCACATTTTTCAGGCTTGCATTACACTTTTTATGTTACCCTTTAAAGGCTGATCACTCCTTAATAAAGTATAAAACTTGGTTCTAATATATGAAGGACTATAAGGTACAGATGCATTGCTATGAGTCTCCTCTCCAGTCTATCCTCTCCTCCTGTGTATGTCGATTTATATATACCCAATACTCACTAATCTGTAAATACTCACACACGGTAAATTATTATATTATTAAATAATCTAGTTAATGCTTAATTTAGATTTCTGTGTACAGAAGGCAGAGCCACAATAATTTTAGGCATTGTTATAGCTTGGCTTCTGCTGCTGGGGTTAATGGCAAAACGCTGACAGGCAGGTATAGATTCATCCCACCTGACCTTGAACACAGAGCAGAATTCCTGAGTTAGGACCTTACCTACCCTAAACTCACTGCATAGTCAATGCAGAGAGTTGGGAACCCTTCGTTTGACCTGTGTCATGTTCTAGGGTAAGGCTCTATCCTCTTTGATGATACATGGCACCTTTGATTTCTTTTCTTTGTCCTTCTAGTCTTAGGCAATCCAGGCTACGGGCGTATAATAAATATTGGATGTGCAGTGACTGCCTCAGTTACTTTGCTTGACAAACCACCAAGGGGCTCAGTGATGTGTCCATGTGCTTCCTGACTGTGAGGTGTTTGATAACAGGATTTAAACTGAACTTTGATTCAAAAATCTTGGGAATGAAATTTTGATGGTGTCAAACTACAAGACCAAAATCCTTCAAAACAGAGAATAGCAACTAGTGGCAGCCAAATTAAGTTTTTAAGTGCGAAAGAATATTTTGTCACTGCATCAAAAGAATTTGTCTCCAGTTATGCCTTGTCAGGACAGCCTCTCTTCTCTGAATACAAAAGGAGATGATTAAGAAGGTCCAGGGAAATGAGGAAGCAGCCTGGTAACACAGGATTCCGGAGGTAGCGTTTGCCTTCTCAGCTCACTGCCGGTGGCAGCAGGTTAAGTGGAAAAGCACATATCTTCTCCTCACTGGCGCAGCAGCAGGAGCTAAGGGTCTCCTATTGTACCCACTCCTAACCCAGGCTACATTCAGGTTTCTTGTTTCAAAAACCCAGGGCTTTTTACAGGGTAATGCAGGTGGTAAAACAATGCATTTTAAAACTGTAGCCTACAAAAATGTAGAGAATTTAAATTACATCCTGAAATGGTGCAGTGAGCACAGTGATGTCCGTACAGGATGTGTGAGTTTTCAAAACAAGTTTCTCAGAGTCTGGAGGTAATAATTTGTAAAGCTATTTCCCTGGTGTTGTCTGTTGCTGCACTTTAAAAAACAGATGGGAAAAATCCCAAGGTGTAAATCCTCCTAAAATTTACACTGGTAGATTTTAATAAAATATACCTTCTTGAAAACTGGAAGAGGAGCACAGAAGTCATGAGAAGGTTATTTAATCTCTTGAATATTTTAATTATTTTAAAATGCTTTACTTAAATTATTAGCAATTCAAATTGGTAGAACAAATACAGTAGGTGAAGGTAACAGACAGCAGTCCACCCCCACTCTGCATTGCCATGCGAAAGAAAATATTATATGCAGGATTTCTGCAAAACACATTGCATTTTTTTTAGAAATACACTCTTTTTGTACTCTTCAAAAGGCAGAAGTTTTCTTCGTTTTCTCCCAAACTTGCTTTTGTGCCATTAAAACATACTCACTAAAATCCTCATTAGCAATCTGAAGATTGTAAGGAATCTGTTTTTAATAAATTAAAACTTTCAGAAACAGACAAAAGCTAGAATATTCAAAAATCAATTGGTGAATCATAAACTCACTGTTCTTCATGGAAGCTTGGGGTCCTAATTGTCTTAGACCCTTCAAAAAAATCTTATCCTATTTTATAGGAAGAGTAGCCATGTAACACTGGGAAGGTTCTGACAGTACACTGTAGCCTTAATAATCCTTAATTTTAGTATTTAGCTGATGAAACTAACTATCCCAAATTCCATTTACCAGGAAAGAGAGAATTATTTACTGCTTTTTGTCTTGAAGAGAGATGTGTTTTTCATGAAGACATCTTGTATTGCAGCTAGTAAAAAGCTGGGTCTTTAAATTTTAACCTTCCTGAAACACGCTAGAGCAATTCCATGATGTTAAAAAAATGCATACTCAACAAATAAATACTTGAAAATTTATTGAAATGGGATAATGAAATTATAATGCATGTTAGCTAGCTAGTGACAAAGTAATTTTTAAAAGCCTTTATAATATTCAGATTGTAGGTGATTAGCTGCCTCTCAGAAATGCAAATGTACAAATGGTATAACTCTGAGAACAACTGCGTTAGTAAAAGCCTGCTTACCTTAAAGTTCTGTAGTGCTCTTATGCACAGAACAGGGCTGCCAAGCATTTAATAGCCAAGCAGTCTGGCCACATTTGGAAATAATCTTTCCTGTATGAAATAGGATTCAAAATGAAATACTCTGTTTGGACCTTTTCCATCAAATGTTAACTCTCCAATTTTTCAGTTAATAAAAAAGAATATAGTTGATTATGTTGGATAGAAAATATATTAGAAAAACATAGCATTGCTTGTTTTTGTTACTGAATTCTTAGCAATCTCTGAATGATATATGCCTCTGGTGGGGGAAATGTACTGAGGAGTGGAAAGTGCAGTCAGTCTGGCTATGTGGTTTTAAGAAGTGGATTCCAAAATAACAGCCTCCATTAGCACGGTAGGCGGGTATGTATGCAAAGTGATTCCTATTGTCTCAGGGGAAAAAAGCTTGGTTTAATGCAGTACTCTACCTACTCCCTTGTGACTAATTCATAGCTATAAAAACACAGAAAAGAAGACAATCTATGAACATGTTTACATTATGCTACAGGCAACACACAATACCAATGGAAACTTTTGGGGATATGATAGAAATTAAAAAAAAAAAAAAAACGTGCAACAGCATGCAAATGTCATAAAGAGAAAGAAATTTGTGCTAATCCAAAATCTATTCCATTAAAACAGGATTTAAAAAAAAAATCACCTAGCTGCATTTCATCAAAACATGAAGGCTGCAATCCAGCGCCTGCTAAAGCCACTTACAGTGACAATATCTGTCTGTGTTCAACCACATTACTAAGGTACACTCTGATATTATAGGGACAATTTTGGAAAGTCATTTATAAAAGTTGGGATATTAGACCTTTCTGCAGGACAAAGAATATAATTCAACAAAGTGAAGAAACATCCAAGCAGTGTTCTGAGTAAAATCAGAACATTAGTGGGCATATCTCCAGTACCAGTGGAAGTTGGAATGAACTGGGAGAGTCCCATGTGTTAGAAACCTGGGCAGATCTGCAGCAGTTAGATTTGGTGGGAACATCTCCATTGGAAGTGTTCAAGTCTACATTAAATAAGCTCTACAACATTTAGAAAACCCTTCCACATATACTTATATACGCATGTATTTAATTTGTGTTAACATTGTAACTTTCAATTAAATTGAAACTAACAGCCAGGAATTTTTTTTTGGGGGGGAAGGCCAGTTCTTTAATTTCTTTCTACGATAATTTAAGGTCTTCAGAGCATTTTGTAAACAAAGTTTCTTACATTCTTAATTTGTTTTCTCTTCAAACTTTTAATGACACCATTTTTGCAAAGTGATAAAATGCAAGTTCAGACTGCACACTGTGCACTTCATGCTATACCCAAAAATTATCATATTGCATCTCTGAAAGTAGACTAATTGATAGAAGTTTTGCAGATCAAAGCTTTCACTTCCACATGGGAAACCTACAATACAGCCTAAAAATGAAATATCTTGCTATTTTTTCACTAGTAAGCAAAGTGTAAAACCCCACATCATAAAGGTGTGTCAATGGCATGCCTTTCTGCTGCCGTGTTCACATGTAATGCCAATAACTGACTGGCATAAAGTCTTCTAGCATGAAACCATAGATAAAAATGGGTTAGAAAACAAGCAACATACTGTGTTATCATTAAGCAGTGATGAATCAGGGAAGCTTTTCCTTCCTTATCTACCTTGCTCCAATTTGTTACAAATTTCTGTTAGACCTTTTTGTTATCCAGCTTGCTGAGATGTAAGAGCAGGTGTTGAAGTTTACTTGGTCTTTCCAGCAGTCTTAACTTTTACAGTGTGTTGTCCAAAATTAGACTGTTTAGTGAAATACTAAATGGAGATTTTGGCAAAACACTCATCAAATTTTCAATAGTCCACCTTATTTTTTAGTCAATCCTGAATACCATAATATATTCACAGTATGCTACTTAAAAATGGTGTTAAAATGCCAGCCCATGAACCTTCAGATATCCTTTCAGATGGCTTGGAAAACTAACTCCAGTTTAGTGATGGAGAAAATAAGGTGCACACAGCAACAGAGGAGTCATTGCAAGAATTTGGCTCAGTACTGAAACTTGGCATAGTCCATAACATTTTTCCACTGACATAAAGCATATAAACATGTCCACAGCACTGACTTTCATCAAAGTGTCTCAACGAACTTTGTAAGAAGAAAAACACTTCTGCAGTGGGTCAGAGCTAAGCCTATCTAGCTCAGTGCATGGCCAAGGTATCTGATGGTGGACAAAAGCAGGAGCGTAGGAAGGTGTTAAAGAACATGGAAAGCACACAGCGATCATTTCTCACCATGTTCTCCCAAGCCTCAACAGTTTACAGCTCTGGGACTTCCTGAGTCAGGAGGAAGTCTCTACACTTCATTGTTCTCAGTGGATTTTTCTTACATGATCTGTCCAGTCACCTCTTGAACTCAAAACACAACAACCGTCTGTGGCAATGAGTTCCCAATTTAAATACATGTTGACTGAACAAACCCCACCTTTTGATTGACTTGGTTCATTTCAGAATCCTTGTTTCATAAAGCAAGTATGTGTCAGCTAGTGGTATTCCTGTTAAACATACGGGGAACAGGAAGAAGTCATTTGACTCCTCCAAATTCATAGTCAATGTTCACTATGCACTGAACCCTGAAGTGTTGACGTCCTGGCCAAAGATTAGACAATATTGTTTTCTTAGAGGAATAGTTATTTAAAAATAAAACAATCCAAAGAATAGTCAGTGAGTTTGTTCATTAAGGAAAGTCACAGATTCAAAACAGAGAATGTATTTAATAAAAAATGTGCTACAATACAAAATATAGAGCAAAGATTGTTAATGTCATTGTAAGTCAAACAAGGTTGCCATATTAATTGTTGTTCCTCTGATGTTTGCTGTCTTAGCCTTCAGTATACTCACTGAGACCTGTGCTTTGTAGCCTTGAAGACAGTAAAAATCAGAGGGAAGAACTTAATCTGTATTTCTGACAAAGGTCCAGTTGTCAAGGGTATCTAAGTAACAACAGGGCTGCAGTTCTAATGAATGACCAGTTCAACACGGGCTACCAAGTGCCTGACTAGCCCAGACAATGGAACTGAGATCTTTGTCCCTGCCTCATCTGCAACAAGGGACCTAGGATGCAAGAGACAAGTCCTGTTAACATAGACAATGCTCGTGCCTTTGGGAATATGTGCTGGTTTTAGTCTTTGAAAGCTCCCACTACATGGCATGCCCAGAAAAGACACACAAAATTTTAACTGAATTAATTCTGAATTTGAAGACCTTTTGAAATCATTATTGGTGTGGATTTAAATTTTTTGGTTTTAAATCTTCCTAGAAAATAATTTTTTCCTACATTTATATTTAAAGGCACTTGGTTTACGGAGAAACCATAAGGGAACAGAACTAGGAAAGAGGAGGTTTATACTTACTAACAACATTAGCTTGTCCAGTGAAGATGGTGTACTGCAGCTCATAAGAGACCACACTGAACTCATCATCCGATGTCCAATGGACAGTAATGGTATCATAAGAAGCTGTACAGAGCTCTTCTCGAATGGTGGGTGGGTTGGGAGCTGTGAGATACAACAGAGGAGTCTTACTGACACAATCAGTAAAATATTTCCCTTCTCATCTGAGATTAGGGGATGCATCTGATATATGACTTTGTAGCTAAACCATCCAACAGACCTTTCAACAACTTTTTGCTAATTCCAATAGTAAGTTTTATTATCAATAAGTTGTTGCAAAGGTATTCTTGCTATCAATATAGTCACCTAGGAACTCCAGATTTTTAAGTATTTTTTATTAAAGTAGCTTTAATTTCAGATGCCCTAGCACAAGTCAAGTGTTGGTGGTCACATGAAACTGTGATTAAATGGGTACAATTGACATGTTACTTCTTCTAGGATTGTTTCTGACCATCACACCAAAATTATCAAAGTTTCGTTGATGCATGTATCAAGAGGGAGAGTCAACACTCTTCACTGTTGACTTGAAAGCATTGTTTGCCTAGTCTATCTTACCAGAGATCGGCATAAGTGGTATTTAAAAAATATCATTTTGGGGAAGCCTCCAAACACTCATGCTTTCCTGCTCAGTCTTCTTCTCTGTCCAAGTTCATTTTTATTTATTTCCTAGCTATCCTTTCTAATAAATACAACTCATTTTTTTTCAGCCTTACATAAAGAGTTCTTATCATAACATCATGACTGTGTGACTATTGCAACCTAATTTTCAATGTCATTGCTAAATAAATAATTCTAGAAAACAATTCAAACGCTTTATTAAAAAGTTGTGCCTCTGTTTCTTTTTTTTTTAATCAACAAACAAGATCTCTGTGTAGCAAGCTATACACTCTTCTCCCATACTAACACACAAGTTTGTTTTAAAGACCTATTTAAAAAGTGAAACTTGAAGCAAACTTCTTAAGTCTAAATTTTCCTTGTTTGCATTATTTACAAAGCCAAAAACCTAAATAAGAAACAAATGAGTCTTTCTTTCAAAGACCGGTGGGCCTTCCTGCATGCTTGTCTCAGTGGGAGCTTCAGTCCTAATCATTTTCCCTACGTGCCAACTAACTGTTGTGAAATCTATGCAGTACTGCATTGGTACTATTAGCTATGTTTCAGAAATGTATCCAGCAGAACAATCTAGGGGAGCTATGTTTGTTTTTTTTTTTTTCTAGCTGAGGCTTCTTTTTCATATTTTGGCTTTTCCTTCAAAGGCAAAAAAAAAAAAAAAAAAAAAAAAAAAAACCTATATTAATTACAAATATACAAGTGGATCCATTTTGCTACTATTCAACTGAGGTCTTCTTCAGTCTTCTGCACCAAACAGAGAAAAACCTTTTAACTTGAAAAATGTACCTGTTATTACTACAACACAGATAATAATATTAATTTAATGGAAAGCAACAATTACTGAAGGCTTAATGAACTGTAAACTGCATTTAATAGTACCTAAGTGTCTTCAACTCCTTTGAAAATGAGAGCTTAAGTTCTCTCTTCATATGCACACCTGGTTGGCCTTATGGCTGGAGCTTTACAAGCCTTCATGTAATGGGAATGACAGAAAAAGGAGACTTGACCTAAGCAGGACATCTTTTCCCTTGCTCTTGTAATTAACCCACACCCACCTGAGACCATACTGCATGAAATACAGCTCTTCAGCAACACTCATTTCATAAACCACTCAGAATAAAACAAAATATATCTGCTTTTCATGCAGACAGACAGGGAAATCTACGTGCAAATGGTTTGTTATGGCTTTCAAAATAATGAAGTCTGACTGCCAAATTCATCATTCCACAGCACGTACTCCTTTGCAGAATGTAAGTCCGTAATGCAATTAAAGAGATTGACCTTAATCAGTTATCTTCATTATTACATTTGATAGTGTGTGGTTTGCTTATCACATTTACTTGTACTGCTACAGAGCTCAGGTGCCACAGGGAAAGCTCTACAGAGACTCCAGAGCGATCTCAAGATTGCACCAGCACCTTCCCCGACGTGGCCTTGACTTGGGTGTGCTCCACCACTGCTCAGGAAGAGGAAGCCCAGCATGCTTCCAGCACAACAGTGGAAGACGTAAAGCCTCATACCCACCCTTCATTCCTGTTTCCCAGAGGAGAAGCAGGGATGGCCCATGGGCACTTCCAGTCCATTTCAGGGTGAGGACGGAGCATTGACTTGCAACAGTAACAAGACTGAAGTTTGACAGCTGATGCTGTTAATACCCGCAGTACTTGGCAGCCGCCTCCTGTCTACAAACTGCTACCTAATGTCAGGGAGAGCTGAAAAAAATTTGAAGCAGCTCCTGAAAACCCCAAATTTACAGCCTTGAGCAGTGAGGGAACCTGGAATCAGTGCCAGCAGACTTAGCAAGGCACAATGAAAGCTGCAGTAGTTTAAGGAATTGTTTCCTAACACCTGTAGCTCTCCTTGATCATGGGGTGGCAATCTCCATAGAGGACCAGGGAAAACATCTGGGAGTGGTAACTGCTTCAGTCACATTGACTTTCATCCATCTGCATTCATGAATTGACACTCTCTGACAAGATTGAAAATCATTGCTGAAGGCTGTTTTAGTTCATTTGTGTGACTTCGACTCAAAACTGAGCAGGCATGCTTAAATAGTCAGGAACCACATCTGAAGTGCCTGAAAGGCAATAACTAATATTAGAAAAGCAGTTTCTTAAATTTGCTTCTGGAATTAACTGACCTCGTGAGTATACCTACTCCTTTTCAACTGGGTTAGTCTAACCCACCTTCCACTCAATGTCATCTGCGCGGCTTCTGCTCTGAAGCAGAGTGAAAGCACCCGCATGGTCCATACACCCAAGACGCAGTTTAGGGAAATTTCTGCCTCTCATTGGTGAATCCCAGCATGAATTCAGTGGCTCCTGGGTGACTGTTGAGACTATGTCTAAGTCCTTTCAGCTCAAGGTCACAGAGATTGACTAAAACCACCTCAACTTCCTTTTGTTTGCTCGGTCTCCACTTCACTGCTGGCATGGGGTGACTGACTTTGTAAGGGTTCCTTACTGATTTTGATACTGAGTAAAAAACAAAGATCTAAGCCACCTCTTTGACTTAATGGTGCTAAAAATATTCATACTGGCGGTATGAACATGAAGGAATCGAGGAAGCTGCTCTGAACTTCTCTCAGCTGTTCATTACTGGCTCCATGGTGTAGCATGACACTAGGCTGAACCAGCATGCAGGAACTTGAAAGGCACAGATAGAACAGATGTGGATACAAATTTGACGTGTCATGCATAAGTTGGCATCAAGAGCTCAGTCATACAACCATGTAGACATAGTCTTTTGGTAGACCAGAACTGTTCAAAAACAACAGAATGAGAAGAGATTACACACAAACCATGAGACTGAGCTGGCTGGAGGTGGGTTTTGATCTTTTAATACTGAAGAGTTAAGATGAAAGAGAGGTTGTGAAGGGTTTCCAGAATGAAGTTTTTTTCATGTGAAAAAAACTGCTGGTACATGCTAGGCAATGCATATTTCTTAGTACAGTCATAGCTAAAGTGATGGATGAAGAAAATGTATCATTGTTTCAGAGGGGATTTCTGAAGCAGGGCAAATTGCAAGGTCAAAGAATAGATGTTCCTGCAATTGATTTCAAAGTATTAAGACACAGAACAAGTATTTTTGATTCACAATAGATAAGAAAAAGTCCTTATGTTAGTAATACTGTGCAGAGAGTTTGCAAGTCATGTGCATTGCCTGGATCTAGCTAGATACATGTTTAGAAAAAGATGAGTTCCAGATGAAGAGCTTGAGCAACTGGCAAGATAACAAAGCTTTCAAAAGAAGTCAAGGCTATATATACAGAGGATAGAACAGTCAGAGGAAGATTAAGGGTATTGTTTTACTATACTGAGCCTGACATCTCAATGTCTGGCTGGCAACTTGCAGAGAGATATCAGAGATTTTCATTTGGACAGCAGAAGCTTTGGACAGACAGCTGCGTAAATGATAAGCACAAACTAGTTAAATTTATATTTGGGAAAGAAATAGCCTAGGAAGAAAGAAAAATGCAAACTTCAATGTGCCACATAGAAAACTGGGGTTGGGGAGATGGAGGATGAAGAAGATCTGACAAATAGTACACTGGGAAGAACCAAAGGAGAAGGAAATCTCCAGAAGACAACCAAGGACAATTGCTTTGAAGGCAACTGACAGCAGACAGAATAAAGCTGGAATTCAGGCTTTGACATGTTGTTCACAATCAGTACAGATGATTGATATAATATAGGCTTCTTCACTTGATTCACAACACAGATGTACCACTAGGACTTACAAATGGTCTTCAGGACTTACAAATGGTCTTCATTTTACTTAACTGTGAAACATGATAAAAGTAAAGCCCAATTCACTCTGTCACACAGTTTTCAGTTTAAGATCTATGAAGACTCCATTCATCAATCTGAAAGGGGTAAAATAAAATAAATCTTCCTCTAGAGTTTCTGAACAACAATAGAGAATAATCAAGTGCATTTGACTCTTGGGACTATATGTATACACATATATATTACATATATACATATATTTACATAAACTTATTTTAACTGTCTGCATAGGTTGTATTTTATGCTCAGATAATTTGGACATGTGTTTCAGATTTTGCCATTGCAGCCATATGCTATTTATTAATATGAAGAAAAATAGTACAAAGGCAGAGCCAGCTAAAACTGTTCTTCAGTGGGCATCAAGGGCAAGGTTAAAAATGGCAGATTAGGAAAAACCAGCTAAACTGCTTGGTACATTTGCAAGTTCTCTTAGACTGCATTGTGAGCAATTTTTCAAGACTGTAGATGAGGTAGGAAGAAGGCAGAGAAGGAGCTGTGTAAATGGCACAGCCAGCATGATGGACTGCAGAAAGGATCTTTGTGGCATTGCACCCTGTAGCAAGACTACCCTTCATTTTGGTACAGATACAAACTTCAATTTTGGCAGTTGCACAGAGATTAGGCTGGTAATATTGACACGGGATGTGGAAAGGGGAGAAGACCTGGGGTGCGGAACAGACTGCTAGATGGAGTTCACCTCTTATAACTTCAAAGATTTTAACCACAATTGTCTGTATTTCAATGAGTCTCTCTAGCCTCTGTTTGGAGCCAGCTGGGAGAAATAGGCACCTCCAGAATGGAGTCAACTGACTGATAGATATGCCTTAAAAAAGAGGTTATTCCTCTTCTTTGACTATAAAGGAAGCTGAGGCTGATTATTTCACAGGTAGATTTCTAGGTTAGGGCAAATGAGCCTGGCTTTTTCTTAATCCTTCCTTTCATTTCCTTGTCTTTTTATAGGTTTGGGGTGAATACTCAACGTGGTGGCAAAATTCCAGCAGACTTTGGGGAGAGGCAGACACCATAACATTTCACTGGTGCTGTATAAAAAGTTCAAGTGACTCTCACCACATTATTATTATGTATTATTTGCCTGAGTATGTGTTAAACATTGATTGTATTCACCAGTTACACAGTGATACAGAAATTTCTTGCAGATAAAATTTCTTGTTCAGATATGGCAAGAACCCCACAGCTCTGTAATGTAAGGGTGCTGCTGCCCTGTGCATGCAGACAGCCTTGTTTTTCCCAGTACTAATCTGTTCACTTATTCCCCTGCAGAAAAGCCAGAACCCAGCCCTCTGCATGGAAAATATCCGGTGGCTGGCAATGAGGACACCCCACGCTCTCACATTCTTCTGAAATAACATGGGTATTTGTTATATCTCCTGCAAACTGGGCTAAGAGAATGGGCCCAGGAAGTGTTTTCAAGTGCTTTTCTAACAGTGCTTTGTGACTTTCATTGCAAATTCTTGCTGTTAACAGCAGATGCTTAAAGACCCTGCAAAATGAAAACCTACTCCGTGTCTCTTCTGTTTTCAATTGAACTGGAATGAATTGTTCTAATTCTGGCATTGAAATCAAAACACCCTAAATTACAGTAATTTTTTTCTCTTTGTGAGTCATTATATACTCTGAGATTGCACATTACTCAGGCCTTCAGTAAGGGTCTAATCCTGCAGGCTTCTTCAGGCCAAAGCTCTCAGTTAAGCGAGCTGGGGCTCTGCTTTGGGGACAACCCATCCCACACCCTGGCGCAGAGCACACTGCGCGCTCTCTAGCCCCAGACACAGCGAGGTTCTCCGGTTCTGTGATGGCAGAAATACACAGTGCCACTGGCGTGAGAAAACATCTTTCTTTGCTGAGCCCTTGATGTTGATTGCTTGAACAGCTTCTGATTGCTCATGGGAAACCTGCCAGGCTGCAATCTGCTGCAGCAAGGAGGCAGCCCCAAGGGAGAGGGTAACACATGGAGCATACGTCCCCTGGGAAATGGGATTTGGTCCCTGCTCTCCCTCCTCTAGCTGCTCCAGGCTGAGCTCCAGTTGTTCTTTCATTTCACTCTGCTGTGGTGGCTTTTAACCATTTCTCACTCCCACTTGCCCACACTCTGGTGGGGAGGAAGGCAAGGAGAGGAGGTAGCAAATGCATTCCAGTTGTCCTTTGTAGCACCTAATCCTTCCTGAGGTATTCTGGGGCTGCAGGAGATAATATATTCAGGATTAAGAGGGAGAGTGTATTGGGGTTTTGTGGCAAGGTTTTGGTAGCAGTTGGGCTGCAGGGGTGACTTCCGCAGGAAAAGACCAGGAGCTGACCCCATGTCAGACAGAGCCAGTTCTAAGACAGACCTGCTGCTGCCCAAAGTTGAGCCCATCACTGATGCTGGTAGTGTCCCTGTGATAACATATTTAAGAAAAGGAACAAAAGGCTGCATGGCAGAGAGAGAGGAGTAAGAAAGTGTGAGAGAAGCAGCCCTGCAGACACCAAGGTCAGTGAAGCAGGAGGGGGAGGAGGTGCTCCAGGCACTGGAGCAGAGATTCCCCTGCAGCCTGTGGAGAAGACCATGGTGAAGGCAGCTGTGCCCCTGCACCCATGGAGGACCACAATGGAGCAGAGATCCACACTGAAGCCTGTGGAGGACTGACACTGGAGCAGGTGGATTTGCCCTGAAGGAAGCTGCAGCCTGTGGACAGGAGCCCACGCAGGAGCCAGTTTTCTGGCAGGACCCATGGCCCATGGGGGACCCGCAATGGAGCAGTCCATTCCTGAAGGGCTGTACCCTGTGGAAAGGGCCCACACTGGAGCAGTTCTTGGAGAACTGCAGCCTGCGGGAAGGACCCATGTTGGAGAAGTTTGTGAAGAACAGCATCCTGTGGGAGGGAGCCCACACCAGAGCAGGGGAAGAGCATGAGGAGGAAGGAGCGGCAGAGACGACGTGATGAACTGACTGCAACCCCCATTCCCCATCCCCCTGTGCCACACAGCGGGAGGAGGTAGAAAAGTTGGGACTGAAGGTGAGCCCAGGAAGAAGGATGGGGTGGGGGAGAGTAGTTTTAATTTTGTTTTTATTTCCCAGTATCTTACTCTTACAATTAATTGGCAATAAATTACATCAATCTTCCCCAAGTTGAGTCTATTTTGCCTGTAGCAGTAACTGTTGAGTGAGATCCCTGTCCTTATCTCAACCCATGAGCTTTTCATTTTATTTTCTCCCCATCTTGCTGAGGAGGTGGAATGAGAGAGCAGCTTGGTGGGCACCTGGCAGTCAGCCAAAGTTAACTGACCACTGAGAGGAATGAAGACAATCCTATCACTACTATTTTATGAGGAACATATAATAGTAGCAATAGTAGCACCCTGACAAAAAAATTACCTGTAAGGTAATCAAGGCATTCCAACAATTTCTTCTCCCTGGTAAAATCAAGTGCGAAAGTATCAAAAGTATCGTTGAGATTAATTTCAGGAATTAGAACCTGGGAGGATGCAGTTGCCATGGAAACCCTATAATGAAAAGAAAAGTCTTTTAGCACCCAAGATACAATAACTTTCACATCAAGGTAGGACTTGATCATTATGATTGTTATCACTTCTCAAAAAGCTTGACAAAAACTTTTACATGTATTTTATTTATATGGTTTAAGTTAGGAGCTTCTCCTGCAACTTTTATTTTTGCAAGTAGTCTCCAGTAAAAATCTCTTATTACTTAGCTTTTTGCCCAACATGCAGTATAAGTTTTTAACAAAATATTTGTTAAACAAGAATATACTTTGAATTGTTCTTTCTAGTCACCCACTAAACTAATGTAGCAATAGCACTGTATTTATCTGTGTTTTAAGCAATCCTGACAGATGCTGCATCTCTGCCAACCCTTGTTTTCCTAAGCAGTTTCTTGCTGCAGGCATTCCTTGGCACCGCTGTCCCAAAGGTTTGGTGCAGATCCCCACACCTCCTCAGCTGTTCAGCACAGCACACTGCTACTAACTTCAAAAAGCACAGGGGGGAGATAAAACAAATAGATGCTGGCACAGTTTATTTTGAAATGCTTTTCCCTGCAAAGCATGTGTGCATACTTACATTTCCTCCAAAACTGAAAAGCTTCCTTGCCTACCTCATTTCAGGAGCTACATCCACTTTTTGTCTGTCCAGCCACACTATATAGAGAGATGAGCTTTCACAAGAAAACTGCCATCAGGATCTATCTTTCAGATCCTTCAGCCTGATATCTCAAAATATATGTTACTAGAGAGCTGGATACTGGATATGTTTACAGAAAATTTGGTCCATTTAAGCAAAGAGGTTATTAAACCTCATTTGTTACTTTTTTGAGTTTGAAGGTAAACACACAACCATGCACACAAGGTATGTCAGTTATCTGTCATACATGACACATGTCAGATCAAAATATTTCGATTGCTTCAGTTAACAGTTTCCCAAATTAGAGTATTTCTCTGCAGACATGAATCAAATGGCTCCAGGCCAAATGCTTACTAAAAACTATGTTTTCATATATTTCTCGTGTAGTATTTTAGGAAAATGCAGTTAGGAAAGTAAAAAACTGAGCTGTACATCTCATTGTCTTCAGCATAGTTTTCAAGAGCTGAACTGAGAATGTTTCCTAGTCAATAATTCATGTTATACAGTTTTCAGCACTGTTTCTCTTGTGACTGTGGTTGGAGAACTTAGTTTAAAGTAGATCCTAGTACAGATGGGTTTTTTTAGAGAGGTTAATTGTAGTGCCTTCTGCTCCATTTACTTAGGGGGAAAAATTCCCTGAGCTCTTTCACTTCTTCTTTTTCTCCCCCACTGCTCCCACCCCACAGTAGTTCATGTGCAGTTACACTATGGTGTTTTATATCTAGTAGGAAAAAAGGACATGCATTTCTTGTAGGGCCTGTGTTAGGGCAAACACCTCTGCAAAATTAACAAAGGCTTTGCTAAGAAACCAGCAAGCAGGTATTTAAGATGAAGAGCTTCTTTGAATACCTCCATAAAGCACATATTTATTGTGAAGAAGATCATATCACCAGGCCCTTTTGGACTTTGTCTGGGGCTATGCAAAGGATGCACTGTGACTATGTGTGTTAAAGTCAGTTTTCAGTGAGCTCAACAGTTCCCAGTTTCAAACACCATGTCAACATATTAGTTTCAGAGGACTGAATTTCCTCTTGTACTTCTGCCTGCTCTATCCGACACTGTACTTGGTTGGAAAGGGTTTTTCTAGGATAAATGCATTTCACCCACTGTAAATAATGCACGACCTAAATCATTGTAGTGTGTGTAATGTCTTTGCTATACATAGTTACCTATTGTGCTTACAACGGAGAATATTATACTGCAATTACTTTGAAATATGTGCATGAAGAAATGCAGTGAGCATAATTTCAGGAGACTGTTTTAGCTGCTGGAGCTCAGGGCCCTGGTGAGACTGTTACATGAGCAGTCTAGAAGCAAACAAAATATCGCTCACCACATAAAAACTAAGAGAGTTACTTGTGGGGAATAATTTATTAATCAGATTTAGCCTCTTTTTCCACTTGCAATTTGTCTGCAAGCACTTGGGATTTTTTTCCTCTCAGGTTTATTCACTGCTTGAAATGATTCTCTGATTTTCAGGGTGTTCACAGCCATCTCATTACAGACAGCAATCTGTGATAGCCAAGAATTCGATTTGATTGGGCACATATGTCAGCTGGTCTCATTTCTGCTCTCCGAGTGTCTCTCCCGTGACTGTATTTATGATGCAACTGTTCATGTTTACAAGGTGAAAATGAGCTTCTCTGAGTATTCTCTGGTAGTCAGTTAAAAAGCTGTGTGTCTCTACAGGTTTCTGCCCTACTGCTTGTTCCACCAAATACTGAAAAAAGGCCAGACCCTCACCTTCAGCTTCTTGCTCATGATACTGGTGGTTTTACTATCAGCTTCAGCTTTGAGAAGGAAGTGCTACAATGTAGCTTGGTGACAGAATACAAACCAGGGTCTGAGTCTGACAGATCAAATGGAATCCATTGCCTTGCCTTGTCTTGCCTTCCCTTCCCTTCCTTTGCTTTGCCTTTCTCAACAGATTTTCAACTCTCTAAACCTGCAACAAGCAACCCAGTATTGCTGGCTTATTTATAAATTGATTAAATAGCTTTGGTGAAGCATGATATTCATTGAATCTGCACACAGCACTCAGAGCAAGTGACAGATTTAAAAAAAAAAAAGAGCAAGGAATTTCATGATTTGGATTAGCTGATTTTGGATTGGCTGGACAATGTGAAGCTATAATGGGAACCCAGAGATAAAAAAAATAGCTGAAAAAATGAGCATACTTCTTAATAGTTTTCTTCTTCATTGTCCAGATTCATTATTCTTTTTTTTTCTTTTGTTTCTCTGACTGATGGGCTAAACAGCTGATAATTCCAATAGAACATTTCTTCATCAGAAAATACTTCTGAAATTCAGTGGGAATATTTCAGCATTCACAGTGTTGCACTGAAAACCAGACTAAATTTTCTGACAGCAGTTTCCTGGAAAGACTTGGTCCCTTGTCTTTGGGTCCTTGATACATCTGGCACACTGAAAAGGAGCTAGGATCCTGGAAGTAATAGAAATTCCCTGCACCCAGGGACCCAACACAGCAGCTGCCATAACTTCCAGACGTCCAAGCTGTCAAATCTCCAACTCTTCGAGTGGGCTACCTCAAAGATGCATGTTGCAGGTTCCCGAAGTTACACATTTTGTTACCTTGCAGCTTGCTATTTTGTGAAGAATATGAATCCAATAAGTTCATTCTAAATTTCTTCTAAGGAATGCACTCTCTGCCTGATTTCTTTCGCAATCTCAGAATTTTTCGTGGATTGGGAATTTCAGCCTCCAGAAACCTGTTTTTTTCAGTGTGTTTAGCACCAGATATCTGCTTGGCATCCATGCTACCTCCTTCATTTGTGCATGCTATTACTGTTCTAACTCTTATTTTGCATCCTTTTTCAACTGCTCCTCCTTTCAAAGGGATGTTTTGGTTTAGCATTACAGTAAAGTCCTTCCCACTCTGGTACAGCACAAAGTAGTGTTTTGGGGGAATGTGTGAATTCACACATCCCCCCCGCCCCCTTTGACCACGTTTGTGGTGGGACAAGACAATATGGCAACTATGACAACCAATCTGCCTTAAACTGAGGCTTTTCAGTTTATTGAGAGGAACGTCTTTACCTTTCAGTGATATTTTTAGCAGTTTGCAGGAAGCGAGCGTGATCATTCTCCTTCAGCGACTGTTCAGCCTGAGAGATGAGGGATGTCGAGCGCTCAATGCACTGTTTGCAGTTTGCAATCTGCTGAGCCAGTTTTCTCAACCTCACCACCTTGAGTGGAAACATAAGAAAGCAGTCACATCTCTAAGGTCACAAATCATGATTGCATTTGCACTTCCAAGGCAAAGCTGGAATGCAAAGGGGGAGCTGAGATGAATGGCTTCGCTGACAAGAGCTTCTTTCACACTAGCTTGATGGTGAGCCCCATCTAGCCACGTAACATTTTTAATAAGGGGGCATGCACAGCCTTTCTGCCTCAATATTTTCCACATGGAAAACAACAGGGGAGAGCCAAAACAAGCACAGCTGGCCTAATTTCCAACAGAAGAAACGTCATTTCCTGGTACTTTCTGCTTACATGATAACTAAGGGCTATTTAGATAACCGTTTCCCTGAAGTGATGAGATCTGTGTTAAAGGTATCTTACAGATTAACCACTTTTTTCCTATTACTGAGGTGAGTTTCATAAAAAATAATCTGAAAATAAAACTTGACAGAAAAAGACTGTTCAATTCTACTAACAGTACACGCCTGCCCTTTTCATTATGTGCTTTTAATCAAACAGGGTGTTTTTGTGTTATTTTTAACTGGATAAAAGCACGGTAGTGCTGGAAAGCTGATTACTACTAGTGCAAACACGTGTGCTGGAGATAAACACAGTGGATGTGACTGTAGTCATTAGCTGAAAGGTTAGGGAGGAGCACAGTCAATCCTCCATTTAAAGACAATGTTGGCTAACAAAACTTCTAGTTCCTGAAAGGTCTGGGAGTCCTCCCTGTTGTTATCACATCAGGATCATAGTTTGAACAGGAGTAAGAAATAGGAAGGAAATGAAATAATTCTGGAGTTTAGAAAGCCATTAAGACCCAGTTACATGCAAAATAAGGAAACTAACAACCAAGTGGATTGGCAGAAATATCCAAATTTATAATGAAGATAACATTCCCAATCTCAGCGATTAGGGCACAAGCTATGAAGTTGCTGAGTTGAATTTCAGATATAATTGCATCCTAAGCAGAGATAAAAGTACCTTTGTGCACCTACCTGACAAGAGAAACCAGCAGGAAAATAAATCTTTTGGAAAACTTTCAAAAAGAAAATACTGGCCAAATGATTAGTGTCCTGTAACATTGGTGTTTCTTCTAAAGATAGAAACAATAAAGGGAGAAAAATGCTGGGAAAGCATAAAGATCTTGATAATGCTAATGATCTGTTCAGCTTCTAGGATGAACTAATACCATAATGTTTTCTCTAACTGTGCATTTGCAGAGATTAGAATTTAGTCTACACCAGTCTAACCAGGGAAAGGTTCATTGCAGTATTAAGTAGCTCACCTCTTTATTTACTTATTAATTAACAAAACAAACAATGAATTGAAATAAATGTTACCTTGTGAGCTTTTAGCAATCAGAAGGCATGTAATGATTTGTGAGGTCTACATATGAAGTACGTTTTTTTTTTTTTGTTTGCTTGGTTCTTTTTTATATCTTCTTCAAGAAGTCAACTGATGATAAACTTTAAAAGGAAGAGTCTCGTCTCACCCACTCCCCACCCCCCGCCCCCAATGGCAGGAACAACGTCTGTACTAAAATTATCTTATTTATTTGATATTTAAGTGTTTTTTTCCTGTTACATGCTCTGTGGGATTTTATAGGTATCAGGTCATAGGTGAGATTAAGGATAGAGCTGCACCACATTGTCAGATTCCTGTGTCTGAATCTGCAGCCTTGCAGCCATAGCTAGAATTTTATACCTGAGTGTTTCCAGCTCTGTAGCCATAACTATAGTCCTATAGCCAAATTTGCTGTGCCTTACCTTCCAGAGTCTTAGCCACAGGCCCTCTTAGAAATGGTACACTGGGCAGAATTTCCTGTGGCTTTTCACATGGGTCTCTTGAACCCCTGAAATCTTTCAACGTATACAATATTTGGGGCAAAGCATTCCAGATCTTGACTGGACCTCCAATGGAATCACTTTTGGTAGAACAAAGCAGAACAAAGAATGGGGACAGATTCTGATACCAGCTATATTCATACAAATTTGGAGTAAATTGTATTACAGATCTTCCATGCCTTAATGGACATTAGAATACATCTTTGCAAGCAACAGATTTTTTAAAAGCAACTCATGTATATAGCACAAATCCAAATTAATGGAAAGTTTTCTACTTCATTGGAAGCACAGCTGGTGTCACTGTATAGAGAAACAGAGTTGAAACAATAATGCAGAAGGCCATCTTTTCCATTTTGAAGGGAATTATATTTTGTTAACAGCATGAGGAAATTCAAGTTCTGTTCCACAATGTACAGGACCTGTGGTTGGAAACATGTTTAAGTCAGCCCTTGCCTACAGGCTTTTTATTTCAAGTTAATAGGAATATCTTGACAGCCGCATGAACCATTTAACGTGCTCTTGACTTTATTCCTTTCCTGAGCTTTTCCCACACAAGAAGAGTTTATATTTGACTTAGTTAGTTTAGTAGTTAAAGAGTAAACACCATGTACCTAGAAAATAAGAACATTAATTCAACTCTAATGTGTTTCTGAGTTAACAGGTAGCTAGCAAAATGCATTGAAACTTGAATATCAGAGATTTTTCCTGCTCAATATTTTTGTTGCTAATAATCATTATACCTCAGTAATTACAAATGCACACTTCATTTAATTTCCTGCATGTTTTTGAATGTATTTTTTTGTAAATAAGTTAGACTTCCTATTCTCAAGAACAATGATTGAAACAAATTATTCATGTGATAGTATTTTAATAAATAATTAAAGTATCTAGACTAAAATATTCATGCAGATAATTGTCAGCCATGATACCAAATGTTGCGACACCTTGTGAAAGTGAAAACTTCGGGGGAAACACTGTCAGACATATAACAGGGTGAAGGAATCATTAATTAGTCATCATTTTATTATCATTTACTGATGGTGACATTATTTATATATTTATCCTTAAAAATCATAATCACAGGTAGTAAGAGAAATGCCAAATAAAATATTGAGGTCTAGAAAACTAATCTTGATATATTTCATTCCTCTTTACATGAATGTAGCAGTAGCCCAGGATTACATAAGGTCTTTTACAAATTTGTATTAACAGTACCTGAGGTCAAAAAGCCGCAAGCATGAGGAAGCAGTGTTGACATACTTGTGATCTAAAGAAGAAAAGCTTTTACCTTTCCTTCCTTGATTTTGGTTCCAATTATTTGTCGTCTTTGCTGGATTATTTCAATGAGCTGATCACATTCTTCCATCAGCTTGGTTTCTTGGCGGGATGCATTTACCTAGAAAGCAAACCATTATGATTAGCAAAACCTTTTTTGACATTTTCCTTTTCCTTTTTCTAATTTAAAAACTGTAATTTCTAAATTGTTTGTTTTGGCATTTTTTTCTCCTTTCTGTGTATAATCTATGTGTTATTTTGTTTTCCCTGTCTTGGATTTTGTGAAATAGTGAAATGAGTCTGAATGTCTTGTTTGTAGGAGGTGGGACTTCAAATAGATACTCATCAGGTATTTCTAAGGCAAGTGAGAAAAGCCTGGTCCTGTGAGTGCTGAGTGATGGCGGACATCAGTGAGAAGTGAAGGCTCTTCAGGAGGTGCTTAACACATCACAGTTTCAAGCTGTATGTAGGACTGCAGTGAATACTAATGCACTAAGAGCACATGTACTGCATCAGACAGTCCATCTAGTGCAGTATCCTGTCTCTGCTGCTAGTGCCAGCATCTTAGGAAGAAGTCCCAACATATACGATAATTCCCATGAATATTTTCTCATCCTCCAACCATTTGCAGCTCAGAGTCTCCCTGAACCAGACACAATTTCTACATCATTACTAATCCTCAGAAGTTATCTTCTGTGGATTTATTTAGTCTCTCCTTCGGCCCCTGCAAAATTTAAATATGCCCACCATCCTACAGCAACGAGCACCACAGCTTAACTCACAGTCAAGTGAACAACTGCCTCCTTCAAATGGATTTGAACCTATCTCCTTCCAGCTGTATTTAATGATCCCAAGTTCTTTTACTGGAAAGGACAGTGAACTACTTGATACCTACCCACAATCTCCATGCTGCTTGTGTTTTTATAGATCACTGTTTTGTCCTCTAGCAGGACTTCTTTTTTTCCATTGAAGAGTTTTAAGTGATTCAATTTTTCCCTGTATGAAAGCTGTACCATACCTTCAATCATCCTTGTTTTTCTTCTCTGAAACTTTGCCAGGTCTATCATCTCCTTTTTGATACAAGGAACAGAACTATACTAAGTACTTGAGGTGCAAACAAACCATGGAGTCCTACAGTGGCACGATATGTTCTCTACTCCATCTTGATTACTTTCACAATGATTCCTAATGTTTGCTTTGCTGAATTTAACACTTGAAAATATTGTTTATTATTTTCAGTGTCCACATAGTGGTTCCTGAAAGATTCAAATCACCAAAGATCCAAGAGACATTACCAAGTCATGTGTATTGCCTGTCTTTATTTTTACCACTTTGCCTCAGCAACGAATCAGACAGAAGATAATAGCTGTGCTCATGTAGTTTTCTACAGTATAAATATATGAGCCAGTGAAACTGTATTTAATGCAAAAGATCCTCACAAAGGATATTAGCTTTCTAAGGAAAATGTTGACTTTTGTCAAAAAATAAGAAAACTTAAACCAGAAAAGTTTTCGTTCTCAGCTGAAAATGTTTTGTTTCTGGGGGAGACTGATTTTTTTCAGTGAAAAGTCAACATTCTATATGACAAGAAAAATGTACTTCCCCGCCAGCAGTAGTATGTATAGCTTACATGTATCCACAAAGAGTCAGAGAAAAACGCAAAAAGTTCTCATCATATCTAGAATAAAGAAAAATTTAAAGGAGTGATTTCAGAGCTGTTTTCATACACACTTTGCTAAGAGAGTAAAGCAATCTTCAGAGCTACGTCACCTCTTCCAAAGGAACAACAGGGAACAGTTCTGGGTGACAAGTACCTATATTTCTCCTCTTGGTTGTTTTTCAGTCTGATGAGCCCCTGATCTGCCTCAGCCTTTTTTTTTCTTCCAACAATGTGTTTAAACATGCATTTACCTGTAAGCACATTATGAACCTCATTAAGATTAAACAAATGCTTATATATCTGAATTTGGACCAGGGCCAGTTTTACAAATAACCTGCTTATGTGAAATACATTGTCTCCTCCAGGCAAAGAGGGGACTTGTTTACAAAGGCGTGCTTTCATTAAGGTTTTGGATTATCCTTCTCAAACCTTCATAAAATTAATGTTTGATTGCATATTTTACATTAATAATTTAATAATTTAAATATTAATTAAGTTATCAGGATTATAAAGAGAAACTATATTTGTTTCTGGAAGGGGTCAGATGGAACTGAAAGTGCTGGGGAGATCTACACACAGTAGGGGAAGATGTAGAAAGTAATTCCACTATGCAGTTTTAGGTGCCTATTTATTTCCTTACATTAGCTGTTTGCTCTGCCTGGCTTCCCACCATGGTCCATGAGTAGAAGAACTAGTCAATCAACACTGTCCCTCCTATTCCCCCTCTTCTCATCATCCCACCGCCCCAGCTGTAGCACACCCTCCTGTCATGCACTGTACTTTGGCATGAAACTCTGCAGAGCTGTTTTCAACGAGCCATCCAGTGCACCAGTTTCCCCAGCCCCGACTCCAGCTTCACTAGTGGACGGAAATTCCACCAAAGAGCGGGGAATCGCAAATGGGCTCAGTCAGTGGCAACGATCACATTCACTGCACATGGATGCAACTCCTTCTGTGTTGATACTAAGGTCTGCTCACACCAGAACCGACTTTTGGCACTTAATTACAGTAACACTTCACAGGATTTTTGAGTAGCTTCCACTCAAAGTGTTACTTCTATCACCACTTACATCACGAATTCATTTTGTCGAGCAGATCTAATTAATCTTTGGGGTAACTGTCATGAAACAGAGTTACAGGAAGGTTAAGTCAACATTGTTTCATTTAATGCTCTGGTTAGTTTAAATAATAAAGTATTAATTAAATCTTAACTTAAAAAACTCTAGACTAAGAAAAACAAAATGCTTGGAAAAAACCTTTGGGTTTCTTACACACTGACTGCAGACTTCTCTCTTTCTTTGAAATCTGAAAAGTATACTCTTTTATAAAATTCATTTGAGGACATTTCCAACTTTATAGCTTGCACAAGCTTATTAAAAGTGAAAAGAATATTCCAAAATAATTGGATATGTCTGAACTTTGTATGAAAAAAAACCCATTTAATCTGGGGGCTTTTCTCAAGTTGAAATAACTCCTTAATCAAATTTTCAGCCTACAAGGCCTCTGATTCAGTAATAACTTGATAATTGAGCACATGCCTAACTTTAAGTGCACCGTATTAGCTGTGGCCCTAAAGGGACTATTTGTGAGATTAGCACTGAATATTATTTACTTGTATGTTTCTGAGAAGTCATATGTCAGACCAAAGAGCCACAGGCATGGAGTGGGGCTCCGCTGTACAGGTGCTACAGAAATACCAGAATAAGGCTCTGTCTTCTGCCTGAGTCCTTTGATGAACAGCAACCTTGACAATAACTTCCAGCTGGGACTGGCCAAGGAATGCGAGTACTGTCTGGTGAAAATATTTGAGGTTTTACATTCTACATTTTTCCACATTAAAAACAAGCCCTCTTTCCAAGGAGTTCATTAAAAGAGATTGAGAGCTGCATTAGAAAAGTCTGGAGACTGTGTTGCTCACGTTGGTTGTGGGAGGCTCTGAATCACATCGTGAGCAGACTTAAATCTGAGCTTCCTCCATCCCAGACGAGTGTTGACTCCTTAATCTGAGATATCTATTGCCTGAGAGTTTATGGTGGACTTGGGGACACCTTTCTGTAGAAAATTTCACTGATATCAATACTCTTAGTTTTGGCATTAACAAATTCCTTAAAAATCCATGTCCAGAACTACTTTGAACCTAAAGGTTTGGGTTTTGTTGGTATCATTTTCATAAACTTCTCTTCCATTCCACAAAACTGTTTTAAAACTGACAAGGATGCCTTGTTACAATTTAGCAAAAATGACATTTTCTTACTACAAACAAGCAAGCAAGGACTGATTATAATCCTGCTGCTTTTGTGGGGAATTTGTTTCTTTTTCTGTAATATCTGAAGACCTCAGACAGTTTACTGAAAAAAAAAAAAAATATTTTAGGGTTCTTTCCAGGTTTTCCAGACAGATGGATAGGGAGTGCTAGCCTTTGCCTCAGGGAGTGGGTGTAGAAAAAAAAGAAAAATGGGGGTTCCTCAGATGTCTGACAGGGAGCTGGAAACAACAAGCCCTCCCGACCTGAACGGGAGAGCAGGCCAGCTGTTCCCATCTCCACAAGCTGAGAACTGCTTTGGAAAGTGCTCTGCTCTCTGCAGAGGCTTCCTTGGCTTTCATCTTCAGAGACCTGAGTTGAATTGCAGCTTAGGTCATAAGAAAATGAATGTGATGGTTTCAAAATCCCCAGCAGATGTTTCGGAAATCACACAACTACAACATGGCTAGAGGTTCAAGGTTACAGGGGAGCTTCTCTGGTTAATTCAAAGGCAAACAGAGTCTCAGAGGGCTAGATTCATACCCATGAAAATTTCCTCAACTACTATGTGGGAATCAAAGCATTTTTTAGTGTCTCAGCAGAATTTTCCTTGCAGGAGCAAAACCTTGCCTCTGGGATTCCTTATGGGTGAGGCAATTTTGTCCGCAAGTGGAAATGCACGTGTCTTTTCAGCAAATAGTCTCTAAATGACAAAAAAAAAAAAAAAAAAGACACCTAAAGTTAGAGGTGGCCTGCTTTTTTAAGACAACACTGTCTGGGATAAATTCATCAAAACCAGAGTAATTTTTATTCTCTAGTCCTCCACTAGTTATGCAAAATGAAAGAAAGTAGGTTCTTCTTTGGAAAGTGAGGTATAAATGAGTTTCAGCTTTACTATTTAAAATTGGTCTCAATGCCTCAAAAATAATTTCTTTGCAGTTGTGGCCAAGCAGGTAAAGAAGAGGTACTAGTTTTTCTTTATGGGTTTGAGTCGATGGTTACAGAATTACTATATACTCACAAATAAACAAAAACATCAGAAAAGCAATTTGCAATGATTCCACTTAAAAACTGCAGCATCATTGCCACATATTTCAGTCTAAATTTTGAGCCTGAATTCCTCCTTACACCAAACCCAGGCAGTGGGGAAAAAAATGTAAAATGATGACATATAATAGCTGGTACCTGTTTAGTCTAGGAAAACTTTCTTCATTGTCCT